TGGCCTTGCGAAGTCAAAAGATCTATCTTCAAATCTAATAAAAAATAAACAACTGCACCCCATGCTGTCCAGAACCCTTACCCAATGGTGGTGATAAAACTAGTTGTGAAGGAACCATCAGAGAATCGCAAGAGGAGGCAACTCTTACCCACACCTACATAGGCATACAAGCAAATTCAGTATCTTTCATCCAGTCTGATGCAAAATTAAAATGCTGACAGCAAAACTAGGTGATAGTAAACACTTAATGGTCAATCTAAACTAAATTCTATGGCAGTCTCAGGGAAAATGGAATATATAAATTGTTCGTGTCTCAACATAATCACTATCTTTCCAACTAGAAATAAACACACTGAATAAGCTAGATATCAGAAACTTCTCTCAGAAACTCAATCATGGAATTAAATATTTTAAAATTTTAATAAAATTCATTTTTCCTCATTAAATTCGTGCACGGTTGCAACTTAATTAAGATCCAACAGCATAGAACTAATGCACTGAGTATCATATTGAACATAAAGTTTAGGCGTTTCCAACAAACACAACCATTTGAGACAGAATCCAGTGAATAATCCAAAAAAAGAATCATGCAATCACTGAAACATCAACTAGATCAGCCTCATAGTACACACTGCCAACTATTGAATGTACGCCAACTGCTAATACCTATTCCTACATAACAAATAGGTTTACCGAGCAAATTGATGCATGTTGCTTCTCAACCTTGAAACCTAAAAGTGAGGTGCAAATCATCCAATTTGATGAAAACCAGATCAACAAACAAAGAATGCCTCATGATGCAAAGTAAATCTCAAGCAAGCTACATGAGTCAATGCGAAAAGGCAAAAAAGAAAAATCCAACGATTCTCAAAACGAACGATGAGATCTAGAGACAGGAAGATCCGTTTGATTCCCGAGAAAAATAGGTAAAAAATGAGAAATCGCTTCGAGATCACATACCGCTATCGCCGATCAACAGGAGCTTTATGAGGTAGTCGTAATCGGCTCTAGCTCTCGCAGGAGGAGCGGCCATTGACGAACTCTCTGCAAAAGTAAACAGTGAAGAAGAAACAACAAATCAAAAACGCAGAAACACACATTTCCACACGAAAAAACTCGAAGAAATTAACAAGAAACGAATCAAATGAGCAGACAGCGATACCAGATCGGAGATTGAAAAGTTCTTCTGAAAGAGAAGAGTGAAGGTCCCTCGGGAGGTCAATGGGAAAAAGGCATGGAAATGCAGAGAGAGTTGTTTTTTGTCTGCTTGGTTTGGTTTCTGTAGTCTAAACTCCCCTGATATCTTTTTGCTTTTAAAATTTAAAATTAGAAAGAAGGAAAATATATTAGCAATTTTTGCCTTAACACCTTCAAAAGGCAGAGGCCCTTCCTCTTAGACTGGTGGGTTGCTAAAATGCGCTGTCTTTTGTGAGAGTTCAATATAAGATTTACATTCAACAATAATAGATAGAGTGATTTTTTTTTTTATATACTGGGACTTTCTTATGAATGTCAAGTTAAGATTTTTCTATGAATGTTGGATGTTGTCATATAGGTTAACATGTCATTTTAAATTTAAGTTCGGCACCTTTAACTTCTGGTCTATGGGTCATAGCAGGTGAGTTAACAATCGATTTTTTAATGTAAAATTTGACCTTTGATACCATATAAAAATAATACATATGAACTCAATACAAGATTTACATCCAATTTAAAATCAATTGATAATAAATAAAATGACTTTCTTTATATTTAACTTATAAATTTTTTATTTTTATACTTAGCGCGTGAGATTTTACTTAACATCCTCTAACCCTCTTCGTTTTCCCAATTCTCTAGAGCGCACATCATCTCCAAGTGCAAGCTAGTAATTGGCAATTCTGGGGATAGAGAGAGGAGAGACGAAATTTCTTATTATTATTATTATATATTTCCCATTCCAATACCAGTTTGCTCTGAAGTTTCATAATACTGTTTTTTAGAATGGATTACAACGGCGATTCGATTTATAAAATTATTTAAATATTTTTAAAATTTATTTTATATTATTTT